GGGTTGGGGCTGGGGGACCCCGGCAGCCACCCCCCCAACAGGCGCATCTCCGTGTCCCCCCCCAGGTACCTGCTGTACAACTTCCCGGTGACCTCGGCTGTGCTGGGGGTCGCCAGCAACTTCACCTTCCTCAGCGTCATCGTGCTGCTCAGCTACCTGCAGTGGATCTGGGGCAGCGTCTGGCCCCGTGAGCCCCTGCCTGGCCAGGTGACAGGGGGGGGGGCCGTGATGGGCCCAGGGGTCCCCTGACCTTTTCCCCTATAAACTTGCTGACTTTTCTCCCCTATAAACTTGCTGACTTTTCCCTCCATCAGGTGAACCTGCAGGAGGATGCCCGGCGACGCGTCGTCACCCCCATGCCTGGTGCGGAGCTGAGCTGGGCTGAGCTGGGGGGGAGCCCAGATGCCTGGGCTCTCTACAAGGGGGGGGCGGCTAGCCATCTGGACGCTTGGGTTCTTTACACCTCTGGATGGGGAGCAGGGGCTGTGGGGGGGCCTCGGGTTGATGATTTATGACCTTTTCTGCCCCCGGATGCCCCGGGTCCCCCAGCCGCAGGCTCGGAGGGCACCGACCTAGAGCTGAAGCAGCCCCTGGAGGAGGGTCCCGAGCCGTGGGAGTGCCCTGAGGGTGCAGGTATGTGACCCCTCCCCTTGCTGGAGAACTGGGGGGGGCTGATGCCTTCCTGGGGGGTGTGGGGGGCCCCCAGAATGAGGGGATCACCCTCTGATTCTCCCCCACCCCCTGCAGCTGCCCTACAGCCGAAGGAGATGCTGGAGACCCTTGGCCCCGAAGACAACCGGAGCCAGGAGCCGGAGCCTGGCGAGGGTGAGTGACAGCCCCCCACATCCCTTCCCTGGAGCTGGAGAGAATCCAGGCTCCCAGCCCCCCTGCCGGTCTAACCCACCCGGACTGGGAGAGAACCCACGTGTCGGGGCCCCCGGCCCCACTCCCCTTCCCCTTCCAGCACAGGGCGGATCCCAGGTGTCCAAGCCCCCCTGACTCCCCACTTCCTCCCCGCAGAGCCTGGATTCGAGGCCGTGGACCGGTCGGCGCTGGAGGCCGACGTCGAGCTGCCCCCCCGGGGGGGCTCGGAGCCAGGGGCAGGGGCCTCACTGCGCCAGAGACTTGCCTGCTCCAGCTTCTGAGCCCCCCACCCCGGGGGTCTCTGCTCACATTCCCACCCCTGCCCTCCACCCCCAGCCTGGGAACAGTTGGGTCATTAATAAACCACCCGACCTGCTACTGAGCAGCCTCCTGCCTGCCTCTGGGGGCGGCTGGGAGCCCTGGGCGCTCTCCCAGCTTGGGGAGGGGATTGAGGGCTTGAGGAGGGGGGGTCGTGGAGCAGCCCTGGACCTTGTGTTCTCTCCAGCTCGGGGACGGGACGGGGCTGGGGGATGAGGGCACCCGGAGCTGGGAGCCCAGGCACCTGGGTTCTCTCCTAGGGCTCAGCATCTTTCCAGCACCAGGCCTGGGTGAGGGGAGCAGGAGCCCCTTTCCAGGCAGGGGCCCCGTGGGCCTGGGTGTTGCCCAGCTCCACCCCCGCTGAGCTCACGCAGCCCGGGAGAGGCGTCTGCATTCCAGACGGTGCCTGTAATGCCCCCGGCATTCCCGAGTGGGGCGTCACCTGCCCCCCACTGCCATGTGCCTGTGGCTGCAGCGGCTTCTTCAGGTCGCGGGGTCAGTTATCTCCACCCCAGAAGCGGCTGCATCACCCTGCCAGGCGAGGGGACCTGTTGCTCCAGCCAGCGCTGGGATGCGGCGAGCTCGGGTGGGGCGTGTCCGCGGTTGCGTGTAACCGAGACGTGGCTGCCTCTGGGCTGGGGCTTTGGGCTCTGGGGTTGCAATGTCAACCGCTGAGTAGAGCAGAGGCCGCTGGCTCTGCGGGGGTCGGGGCAGGGGATCCAGGTTTATGCTGCGGTTGGCTCTGGGGTGGCTTGTGCCAGTGGCTGCGTAGAACACATGGAGCCGGCTCTAGGGTGGGACAGGGAGTACAAAGCCAGGTGCTGGGATGCAGCCAGCTCGGGTGTGGGCGGCTGAGTAGAACAAACACAGCTGCCCCTGGGACGGGGCTGAAATGCGGCTGGCTCTGGGGTGGGATGTGCTAGCAGCCAAGTAGAAGAGGCAGGCGGATGTGGAGGCATCAGGGCCAGGGAGATGGGGCCCTGTGCGGGGCTGCAGCTGCTTGAGGGCACCAGGGCGGGTGGAGGGGGGGCTCTGGTATTGCCCCCTGCTGCTTTGCCCCACGGTGCCCTGACTCAGTGGAGTTTCCTGTGTCTGTGCAGGGCTACATGTTGGGGGGGCCTGAGTCAGCCCAGGCAGCCGGCCCAGCCACTTCCTGCTCCTCCCCACTCCCCCCCTCCAAACTTCAGGGAACTGGGAGGGGGGCAAGGACCTCAGCCAAGGTCCTACAGTGAGTCAGTGGCGGGGGGGAGCCCAGAGCCGCACCCCTAAGCCTGGACTGGCTCAGACTGCCTGGACTGTCCCAAAGCTGCAAAGAGCCCAGGTGTCCAGGCATCCAGCCCCCATCGCAACCCTCGACACCCCTTCCTCTCGCAGTCTGGATCCGACCCGGGCTCCGCCCCCCGAGAGGGGATGAGATCAGACACGGGACAGGGATAAAGAGGCCGTGCAGCGCAGCAGAGGCAGGAGCTGGACCAGCAGCATCAGGAGCCCTGGACCCAGCACCCTGAGAAGGGACCGCATAGGAAGCACAAGGTACGGGGGGGTGGGCCCGGATCTCTCCGAGCTTGGGGGGTGGGGCTGGAGGGGAGAATGGGGGGCTGGGCGCCTGGCGTCCCTCCAGCTCCAGGAGGGGAGCGAGATCTTGGGGTGCAGGGTTTGGAGCAGGGGGTGCTGGCTTCCCTCCCGGCTTTGGGTCTGGCAACCTGCCCCAATCCCCCGGCGCTCACGGCAAAGGGGGCTCGTCCGCCTGGGTCCCCCTCTCGGCGTCTCACCCCCCCTCTCTCTCCCCCCCGTAGCATGCTGCTGTCGAGGGCCCCGATCCTGGCCACCACCGTCTGCCTCCTCCTCCTGTGCCCCGCGCCCCCCCC